GGGGGGGGGGGGGGGGGGGGGGGTATGTCAGGATAGGGGAATTCTGGGGATCGGGGGGCAGCCTATAACAACGTCAATATCGGGGGAAAACCCATGAAAAAAAAAGAAACAACGCGCGCGCACACACACACAGCGGGACCCGCATCATGGCTTTTAGTATAAGCTATAGGAGTGTAATATTTTTCTCCGCCGCACTCAGGGAATGACGTGCATGTTCAGTGGCAGCCGGATACTGCTACTGCAGCGCGGTCGATAAAAAAACGCGAATGCCAAAGGTAACACATATATACCCTGTACGAGGGCCACGCTCCTCGTCCGTCGTTCCGCACGTGCTAAGGTTGACTACAGCACGAGCCCGCACTTAAGGACCCAGGAGTTCAAAAGAATTGAGCTGACAAAAAATATCAAAAATCAAGAACTTGAGCATCATTGTTGTGAGCTCGGTTAAGAACGCCTACACTAAAACCTATGTAGCGATCATTCGTAGCATGACCCTCGGAATACGGTAGAGAACCCCAGCCTCGACCGACACTTTAATAGAGCTTATTAAGCGGTGGCCCGCTCAACTTGTATGCAGCGCTTCACCGACAAGAGCCCACTTGCCCACGCAAAGGGAGTGACTTTAAAACGAAAAAATATTCTCCGTTCCCCGCCAAGTCAGGCTTCGTACTTGAGATTTGTGAGTCCGGTCAATAACTCTATAGCAGTTCGTGGGATGACCCTAGGAAGACGGTAAGAACCCCGGCCCCGGCCGAAACTACATAGAGGTTCTTAAGTGGGGGCGCGTTATGTATCGTATATCGTGTATTCATCGGCCAGCCTCGTGCAGCGCCGTCCATGCCAAGACAAAAAAAAAAGCTTATCTTCGCCCGTACACACGAAATAAGGAGGTCGGTCACCTCTCTTGGCCACACAAAACGAAAGACGCCCACCAGACAACATAAAGGAGAGAGGAAATTATTATAGTTTCTGTTCAAACGAAAAAAAACACAAAAACAGCCAACAAAGCAGAGGAAAAAAAAAATGTCTGAGTAAAATAAATCTATGCATACCTCTGGGTCGTCCCGGAACCCCCCCCCACCGCCGCCGCCGCCCTCGGACTGCCACCGCTTCCGACGTCGACGTCATCCCCTCCCCCCGCCGCCGACCCCGCCCCGGCCTTCGTCTGTTGCTCGACCATTTTCCTGCGGCTCATCAGAGCGGACAGCCCGGCAGCAGCGGGAGATTCGTAGGAGGCACCGGCAGGGCTAGCGGCTGCGGCTGCGGCTGCGGCTGCGGCTGCGGCCGCGGCGTCTANGGGGGGGGGGGGGGGGGGGGGGGGGGGGGGGGGGGGGGGGGTTGCTGGTGCTCTTGTAGGTAGTCATGAGGCGTTTGTAGAGTGAGCGACGGTGGCGGTGCTTGGGTGTGGGATTACCGGTTCTCCACTACAGTACTTCCTTGCCATGGGGGGTCGAGGATCAGGGGTTCGATGTTGTTGTCGTTGTTGTTTTTGTCGACGTCATTTGATTGTTGCTGGTGCTCTAGTTGCCACAGACGGGGGCATCTCGGGAGCGAGCGAGATTTCAGGGGTCGGGCATCAGTGGGGATTCTTCGCTACAGCTACGCCATGTTGCTGTCGTCGCGGTCATGTATACATATATACATATATTATACATATAGTGTATGTAGTATATACTATATTTACTATATACTTTATACATATATACATATATACATATGCATATATACATGCATATCTACATATATCTACATATATACACATATACATATAAATACATATATATACATATAATACATATATACACACATATATACACATATATATACATATATAGACATACACATATATATACATATGTATTTTTTTGTCTCCCATCATTGGACTCCGTCGTCTGCCCCTCTGGCCCCTATCCTCCCCTTCTACTAGCTTCCAGCTAGACGACCCAACCGGGGTCACATAGGAGGGGGGGGGGGGTTGGACCCCCTCCTGCGGTTCCTGCCTGAGATACTTTTATCGCGAGAAGGGTACAGCAATCTCTTCCCTCGCGACTTTCAAGTCGATCATTGTCACAAGTCGGTGTTCTTGCCGGCGTATTATGCTTGTCGGCCGTCTTGCTCCTGCCATCATTTTTTTTTTTTTTTCGTCCTGATTGAGCTGACTCGTACGAACCACCTCAACTCTCGACAACCAACAAGCAACAGCAGCACAAAAACGTGGTGCATACTCGCTGCAAGGATGCGATCGATGCCTTGCTCCTGCCAACACCATTCTGCTTTTTCGTCCTGATTGAGCTGACTCGCACGAACCGCCCTTGCTCTCGAAAACAAGCAAAAAAACAAACAAGCACCAACCGTGGTGCACATACGCGGCAACGGCATGACACCGCCGCAGCAGCCCTCGCAAGGACATCAAGCTTGGTTGGGTATTAGTAAGGGGTACGAAACCTCCACTCTCTACTTCATACATGAACAATAACACCGTACGTTGCAAAAGCTATCACACCCCCTTTCAGAGGCCGATTATTCGGTAGGAAAAACAACAGCGACGGAGCCGAAAACGGCGGGCAGCGTTGGAACCGTCTGGTCGGGAGCTTTCCGAAAAAACGCGCCGCTTCATTTTAGCATCCGCTTCTTGGTTGCGGTGCATCAGGATCAGGTAACCAAGCTTTGAAAAAGGGCCCAAGGGGTGTGTGTGTGGTATCTTGCGTAATGCAAACTACGGCAATATCCTCGCCAAGGCGGTCCCCCCCCCCCCCCCCCCCCCCCCCCCCCC